CCTCAATGAAGGCTGGTTTTAAATGCTGTCCATTTCAGCCAATAAGTGATCTGACTAATTTAAGATGTTTTAGTATCGCTATATATATTAGCTTATAAATGACAATAAACAAGATACTTTTATGCTCTGGCTTCCAAACAGGGATTTGTAAGCATCATTTAAAATGATGGGCCACAGCTTTAAAAATATGACATATAAAAGAAGATATACATGTTTTTGTTGATTTACAAAAGTTACAAATAGTAGCACTGCTTACGGGTTTAAAGGAAATGTAAACTTGTCACTACACATTGTGTTTGTGTGAGAGACAGCAGGTGTTCATGCAGACAATTTGTTTGCTTGTTTGTTTCACTTGTGTTAGTGGTGTTGTCAGGGTAGCGGAATACTTACAATGGTCAGTCGGGAGTTCAATTAGTTTGCAGACCAAAAATAGATTGAAGATACACACATTCATAGCTTTCAACTGCCAGTGGTATTGTGGTTTGGGAAGGCAGATATTTTGTAATACATTCATTTACAAGAGCTACCTATGTCCTGAAACCTAAATCAGTGTCCAGGGAATTAAATAATTAAACATGAAATACTCACAAAAATAATCAATAGCACAAAATGCACTGTAGTTCACAAGCTGTACTTTTGTTAGAGTGAAGGAAATGTAAGACATTGTGAACAAAGTGTTACGCTGCCACATAAAGCAAGGGCCAACATCAAATTACATTAAATACAAGCTTGCACTCTGTCAGCTTTTCCCCTTCACTGCAGAGATCTGATCACAATTCATGTCCCACTGACAATATCCATAAAAACAGAATTAGAGGTTATTGCTTATTTAATGTGCAGATATTTCTATGTCCACGACCTTTACTACGTGTTAGATAATTTATGTTACATCCTTCTGCAGAGTACATGCTGAACTGGGGTAATCTCAGGGGATAAACTCATCAACATGACCTAGAGTTAATACTACAGTAAGTGTACTATAAACATGTTCTTCTGTCTGGGTGTCATCAAATGTTATCTCTCGTTCGTCAAAACACAGAAGATCCAGTTCACAGAATAAGACCGACCAAAGATAGGAACACCGAAAAACAGAAATACTTTAAGTGAAGCTGAAATACTGTGGAGGCTTTTTTTTTTAATCAAGCAAAAAATGGTCCCAAAACCTAAAGCCACACGGTTTATAAAAGATCCAAACGTTTTCTACAGACAGCTAAACAAATGCTTTAAAACGACTATGGGTCCTTTCAGATACACTTAAACTTAAGTGGTTTTAGGCATCTGAACTAATAACCCATTATGTCTTTTTATGTTTCCTTTTATAAAGATATGAAATTACTGTTAAGTAACCAACCCCTGTAATTATTACACTTCTTTATAATCATGTTGCAACCTTTACAGATGCATTGCACGTAGAGTACCAGCGATGCTCCTCTGAAATTATAAAGTGTAATGAGGTGTATTCAAATAACTGACAGAAACCATGATTGCAGTCAGAAACGTTTGTAGATATAATTCCACCTGAACAAACAAATCGTTTCTGATCGTAAGACCCTGAGGCTGCAACCAGAGGAATGAGAAGTGGCTCGTACATTGAGCTGTTTACACTTCACTCTTTTTTGATCAGAAACACTCACATGGAAACACAGGCATGTGTAAATACAAATCTATTAGGGCAAAGGGAGTGAAGGAGGAGAACAGATGGGGGAGACAAGCAGTGGATGGAATGAGGGGGAGAGAAGAGGAGGAGAAGATACAATCGGGAAGTTCCTTGCACACTTTATATCTTCCCTATGTGGAGCAACAGGAATACCAAAAATCTGTGTGTATGGAAAATAACGAAAAAAAGGTGTGCAACTGCCACTTGTCATAAACCAGTATTACTCCTATCCAATTATGTGCAGGTGACATCTCCAGTAAGTGGGGAGGCCAAACTCATCTATTTAATGGTTTGGGAAACCCTGGTGCCCTGAGGTGGATTGGTGGTCAATGTTTGGAAATGGATGACTCAGTGAGGCGTTGTGCCAACACTTTGCGCTGACTCAGTGCCAATGTGCCGAAGCAGGGCTTGGCCCGAGGACTCATATTAACAGGAAGTGCAGGAAATGGCCGTAATGGTGTTGCATTCTCCAAACTCATTCCGAAAATGTAGTCACAGTAAATGTTTTGATGTGCTCTGAAGTTTAAGATAAAGTCTTGATGATGTGGGCTTCCTGTGCAGTAGCACTTATTCTGTACCCAGCTAAAGAACATCTAAAAATACTGTTTTAAGTGGATGAAATGCCACCGTGCATTACATCGGGGGGGGGGGTTATTTTCCTTTTCATGTATTATCGCCTAAAAATCGAATGGACAGCATGAGCCCAAAACAAAAGAACCCTAAGATGATGGACTAAACACGAAATTAAAAAAAACGTAACTTCTAATCAACTGGCATGCTCTTTTAATTTACGAGGACAATGGGATTCATCATAGTGGGAACACAGGTAGGAACAACTCTGCGGTTTAAAAACAAGTCATAAATCAGCATTCATGTCTTTTGGATCAGATCCTTTAAGTGAGGATGTGCCTCTCTGCTGGCTTTTGGTTTTGTTATTCCCCAAACAAGTTGATATCATCTTTCAGGACAAGGACAGGTATCCTTCAAGGATTAGTTCTGCTTCGCCGCCCCCACAGACAGCCTCCTCCTACCAACCTTTTTCAGGGAAGTTTAGGTGATTCAGGAGATGATTACAGATCACCTTTCTGACTCACTGAACATCTTCCTGGAATTACCACCCTCAAACATACAAAGATGCCAAGAATGTTCACAAGCCTGAAAACGTACTGAGATTTACTCAGGAGAAAACAATTTTTTAGATTCAGCTGGATATTTTTACTACCAAACGTGTCCTCTACTGGAGTCCAAGAGCAATGTCTGAACTTGGATTTGACACAGGCTATTTGCTGATCAACATGTTTGTTATTCTGAACAGGCAAATACGTCCTTATTGTAGTGATCAGATCACCATAGCCATTAGCCAATGCCTCGGGACCTTTGTGAGGCATGATTTTAATTGACCCATGTGGAGCGGTTTGTTTGAAGTACAACTCTTAGATTTAGAACAGTGACTCTGCATTTCTCTTAGTCTACTTTTAGTAACTGGACCTCATCTACTTTTTGTGGTGAAAAAGAAAAATGCTCACATGTGAAAAAAGTAAAGCCTTAAAAAATGGCTCCTTTACTTGTGTTGCTTACGACAGTTCATTTGAAGAGTGATTTCCTTCTGGAATAGGAATTAATGCTGTATTTTACAAAAGATAAATACAAATATTGTGTCACAGATGTTAGCTTTAGCCTTATTATTTACTACCCAATCTTAAAACTCCTTTAATGATTCTTTAATAAAACCCTTGTTGATGTCCCAACACCTATGATGAATTCAATTATAAATATATTAAAATATCCTTAGTTTTGTTTATCCTATTGTGGCTTATGACAATGTACTTGCTAAGTGAAGTGCTCTGCTTTATGGCAGTTAGGCAGGAAGACGAATCAATCTGACCATACGTTTGAAACCCAATGTTTCACTATAGGCTGCTTTTAATTGAACTATTCATATCTTAGACTGCACTGTAACTTTTATCCATGTACTTTTTTCTTTTAATGTTTATTTGATTAGCTTTTCTTTTTAATGTCTGATTTTAAATGCCATTTTCTTAATCTCTTTCATTTTTTGTAAAGCACTTTGAATTGCCTTGTGTTGAAAAGTGCTATATAAATAAACTTGCCTTGCCTTGCCTTGCCTTGCCTTGCCTTGCCTATATCCTTTAACCATTTAAGAATTAGATGTATGCATTTTTATCTGTTTTTGATATTGTTAATATCTCCATCTTGATGTAACTGTGCTACTTACATTTAGAGAAAGAAGAGGGTGAATGCATTTTATAAGAATATCTAATGATGATGAAGATTATTTAAACAAAAGTTCTTCCTTTTTGATCAAAAAGACCGTTTTGGCCCTCGTGCACTTCAGCTTTCTCACAGTCTTATCACATGTAGTGTGAGTAGCTCAGGATCAAAACACCTACATGTTTGTGGCAATGTGTGTGTGTTTCAATGTGTGTGTCGTATTCGGGGCCATCTGATCATCTCGGCTTTCATAGCGGCAGGATGGGCTCCTTGTATTGTCTGAAAGGAAATACACACACACACACACACGTGTCTGGGTGTTATCAACTCTAGACAATACGGAGGAACAGGAGGACAAAGACAGGAGAGAGTGTTGTCCTGAGGGCCAGTCAGCACACACACACACACACACACACACACACACACACACACACACACACACACACACACACACACACACACACACACACACACACACACACACACATACACACACACCATGACCTCATGCCTGATAAACACATGTGGAGCTCTTCTACTCTTACTAGATGAAAAGTAATGTTTTTTTGGCCACCATTCCCTCCCTTCCTTTAAAGGTATTTCGTGGTATATTTTATGCTATGACGCTGATTTATTTGTCAGCAGTAGTTACACTTTGTGTTTAGTGCACCTCAAGTTTCTCAGACATGTCACAACCATGCAACCTTTTCATCCCTTCTCTGCAAATAGCAACAGTAGGTCATGTTTAAATCTTCTCTAAGCACTTAGTGGTGTTGGTGTTAGAGATCCCAAACAAAAAGACTTGGAGCATGAAATACGGGGCTGTGCAGGGAACACAGGGGAGAGGAGGAGGAGGAGGAGGAGGAGGAGGAGGAGGAGGAGGAGGAGGAGGAGGAGGAGGAGGAGGAGGAGGAGGAGGAGGAGGAGGAGGAGGAGGAGGAGGAGGAGGAAGAGGCAGGGAGAGTTTTGTTCAGGGGATGTGGGGGCAAGAGACAACTCAGCTAAAAGAAAGAAAGAAAGAAAACTCCTCCCAAATACAGAGGAGAAAGAGGAGGGGCTGTGTGCTCACAAATCACTCCCCTGAGAGAGAAAGAGGAGGGCAGGGCTTCTGATTGTGCGGCGCTACTTGTTGTTGCCTGTCTCAAGCAGCGTGAGTGTATAATCTTGCAGCCGGTCCGCTAGTCAGAAGCTCAGTCATTCAAACAAACTATGAAAGGGAATACTTTGGATTAGATACGACTGAAAGAAAAATAGGAGCAAAGACCAAGGGATAGAGAAAAGGTCACGCTGACAGGTATGGAATATAAATGTGTGGGGATGTGTGTGGAGGAATGTGTGTTGTTAAGTCTTGATGGTCATCTCCTCTGCGTGCATTAGAGTCATTTCAGACTTTTTTATTTAAAAGTAAAAAGAGTAAATGATGTGTTTCTCTTTCTGTGGCTGCTGTGTATTTCACCACACTGCCTTCTCCTCTCATCTCTCTCTCTCTCCACCCCTGAATTGTTTACATCTCAAAAGTGAGTTAGATTTGCTCAGGGACTTTTTGAGCAATAAGTCGTCTTCCCAAGGCGCTGGGTGTAGCTGTGGTTGATGGGGTTGGTTGGTTGGTGCTGCTAACGGTAGAAACCCCCAGCAGGAAATAATTACATGGAATATGAGAGATAAGATAAAGATCTTTCCTCACGGTTTTGGGTTTGGGTCAAGATTACAATGTTTTGCACAAGTTTATATTCTCTGCCAAATATCATGAATAGGTTTTGACACTGCTGTAAACCCACCAATATTTATTTTAGTATTTCATTTTAAACTTGAAAAGGTTAAGGAGGGCTCTTATCAAACAGCTGTCGTGCTCAGAGACACTTTGACAGGTTGCAGCTCTCTGACCTTTGAGAACACATCTTTAAACGGTAAACCACCCACGAGATGATGACAGGCAGACATGTGTGTGCATCTGTGTGTGTGGATGTCTTGTGAAGAGAAACATGCAGCAGGTTGTTGTCAGATATTAGTCAGTGTCAGGTCTGAACCCTGTTGTGGCGTTGAATCGAGCCAATGAGATTCAACCTTTGATTAATGCCGAAATGTGTCAGACTCACATAGCTCAGCTGTAACTGTGTGACGGTTGCCTACTTGCAGTGTGTGTGTGTGTGTGTGTGTGTGTGTGTGTGTGTGTGTGTGTGTGTGTGTGTGTGTGTGTGTGTGTGTGTGTGTGTGTGTGTGTGTGTGTGTGTGTGTGTGTGTGTGTGTGTGTGTGTGTGTGTACACATTTGTGGTGTTGTGTTACTTGCTCCTGTGGGCCAGCCGTCAACACATGTGACTTGTAATCTTCAAAAAAGCCGAACCATGGCAAACAAAAAAATAATACGATAAATATACTTTTTAAGGCTTTAACTTCAGTATTCTGATGGGGTACTGGTATATAATGTTAGCAGTACCGCCTTTACCAACTTTTAACATTGCTACATTTTAAGAAATTAATAATAACCGTGATGCTACCAATTCATTTGTAGACTAAATATTGAGGCACAAGCTGCAACAACATCTCATCAATAATGTTGAAATCTGAAAGGAGCATTACTAGATTTGCTTTTGGCACTCACACTTCAAATCTCCAACTTGTTTTATAAAAGGAAAGGCTCTCATTTGCTTTCTTGTCAAAGAAGATACACTCATTTGTCATGTCTGCACATAGATAAGGAAGTTAGAGCTAGACGGTATCTTAGCTTAGCACAAAGTTTGGGAACATTGGGAAACAGTATAAGAACAACATTGAAAACTTGATAATATCTGGTTTCACTGAAATATGTGTGAATTAATTTAGTTTTGTCATCAGTTACCATCTAAAGCTTCATGTTTAGCATACAGACAGAAGCGTTGCCTTTTATCCAACTCTCTGGAAGTAAGCAAATAAGTCGTTAACACAAACAATGTGACTTCCGTCTATTAAGGAATTGTATTTATTATCATCTGCATGATTGTTAAACGCTAAGATGGACACACTGAACCTTTTTATCTCAGAAACATAAACACAAGTCATCACATGCCAATTTAGCATGTCCATTTATAACTAAGCAATTGGTTGGTTGGTCATGGTCATTTTAATTGTAGCTATAAAGTTGTTGCACCCAAAAGGCCGGCTGAGATGACACCACAAGCGCAACTTAACTGCATGTGTTACCATCTTTGATGTTGCTGGAGCATCATTTCAAGTACAGCTTGAGTTATAGATTTGAGATGGACTTACTTTTTGAAGGAACTAAATACTGACTGACTCAGCTGGCTGCTTCTATGTGACTGACTGGCTCACAGTGTGCTGATCAGTGACTGTACACACATTTTGTCTCACACTTTCCATCTCTTAAACGACATATGAAACGAGCACACATGGAGGGCAGGTGGTGTGTGTGTGTGTGTGTGTGTGAGAGAAAGAGAGATTCAAAAGTTTTAAATGGCAGCTACTGCTGTGGGATTTAATAAAAGACTCAATAATATGTTGCACACCCATACACACTGGTAAACCTACGCACCGAAGAGCGCCGTCGGACCTCTCTCTCTCTCTCTCTGTCTAACAAAGGCCGGCTCTAAACAGCGGTCATGTGACAGTTGTTCCCATTGTTCACTTCTGGCCAGGGGTGATTTGCTAGTGTGTGTGTGTGTGTGTGTGTGTGTGTGTGTGTGTGTGTGTGTGTGTGTGTGTGTGTGTGTGTGTGTGTGTGTGTGTGTGTGTGTGTGTGTGTGTGTGTGTGTGTGTGTGTGTGTGTGTGTGTGTGTGTGTGTGTGTGTGTGTGTGTGTGTGAGCATGTGTGTGTGAGCATGTGTGTGTGAGCATGCCATAGCAGGAAGACTCTTTAAGGCAGCTAGAGGAAGCCACTTATTCCCCAACATGTTTGTGTTGTCCTCTCTATTGTGTGTCCATGTTTAATAAGAGACCTGTAGTGCAACATGTGATTGTTTTCTCTTTTGTATATTAGAGGACTTTTAGTCCGACCTGAATTCCCAGCAGTGGCCAAGACGCCTTTTGTGAAGTTCTTGAGTGGATTAAAGACAAGCTTTCTGACTCCTCACTGATGTGTATAGTCAGACAGAGAGATGGGAAAAGCCTTCTATTAAATTATCAACTTTAGTTAAACTACATTTCACAAAGTAATGTCCTTATCCCCTCTGAGACAGAAATAGAAAGAAGTACAGTGATGGTGAGAGGCGATTTATGTTTTATTGCTGGTGATCCTTTATAATGAGCTGCCTGCCGACTGTTTATACTACCATTTCCTCTTCCTGTTAATCTGCACTCATTTCCCACCCAAGGACTTGTGTGTGTGTGTGTGTGTGTGTGTGTGTGTGTGTGTGTGTGTGTGTTGTGTGTGTGTGTGTGTGTGTGTGTGTGTGTGTGTGTGTGTGTGTGTGTGTGTGTGTGTGTGTGTGTGTGTGTGTGTGTTGTGTGTGTGTGTGTGTGTGTGTGTGTGTGTGTGTGTGTGTGTGTGTGTTGGCGTTCCCAACCCAAGGCCTTTACTAGTGTTGCTGATAAAACAAACCTTACCTCAGAATATGTTGTCTTTTGCACCATGCAGGGAAATACCTCTGATGCCAGGTGTATTCTTCCACTGTGAAATCTTGTTTTACTGTTTTATTTTAGTGATATCCTCAATGAAGGCTGGTTTTAAATGCTGTCCATTTCAGCCAATAAGTGATCTGACTAATTTAAGATGTTTTAGTATCGCTATATATATTAGCTTATAAATGACAATAAACAAGATACTTTTATGCTCTGGCTTCCAAACAGGGATTTGTAAGCATCATTTAAAATGATGGGCCACAGCTTTAAAAATATGACATATAAAAGAAGATATACATGTTTTTGAATAAGTTGATTTACAAAAGTTATAAATAGTAGCACTGCTTATGGGTTTAAAGGACATTTAAACTTGTCACTACACATTTAAATTATAGACATCAATTTGAATGATTTGCAGTTAGTTTGAAAGGATATTGTGTCAGTAGCTAATTCAAAACATAACCTCAACCTGCAATTGACAAGTAATCTAAAATGAAAGTTTTTAAACCAATGAAAGTTTTATTAGGTGTAATGTTAAGATTCAGCTCGATAATGCAGATGTTCTTACTTACAAACTAACCTAAGTGGTTAAAATGACCACAAACTAAATGTTTCTGTGTATGTGCGTGAGTGTGTCTATTGAAGTGTGCGCTAGGCGATGGCTGAGCTGTAGGGAGGAGAGGATGAGGCAAGCAGAGAAAAGGGGGGGATAAAAAAGAGCAAAGTCTATTATTATGAGAGGAGGGAGGACAAAGGGCAGAAAGAAGGTGACAAAGTGAGGAAGCTAAAGAAGAGCTGACATCATGACGGACAGGCAGAAGGAGGGAGGGGGGGTTGTGTTTCTGTGGAAGAGCACAACACTAAAAGAGAAAGGGGGAGATGGATGAGTATGGATGAAGTCAAAAGAAGAAAGAGGGACTTCAAGGTCCTATGTCATGGCCATTTCTACTGATCATAATTCCATTGTTGAGGTCTACTAGAATAGATTTACATTGTTCAATGTTCCAAACTCACATTGGTTTCTCATTCAGCATCTCTGTAAAGTATGATTATTCACTCTCTGTCCTAAACGACTTGTTGGAGCTCCTGCCCCCCCCCCCCTCCCTGTGAGCCCACTGTGCTCTGATTGGTCAGCTCGCCCACTCTGTTCTGATGAGTCCACCACCGTTACAGCGGAACATCAGTGATTATGTTTTACAATGGCGTTTGTTAGCAACCAGGAAATGACACCAGTAATGACAAACAGATGCGAATGCTGCGTGGGGTCTGGGTGCCGTGTTGGCGGGACGTTGCGCGGCTCGCGAGGAGCGGACAGTGTGAGCTGGGTTCATCTCCTGCTTGCTGCGTGGGATCTGCGAGACAGCGAGACATCACGATTGGATGCGGGATGGGGGGGGGGGTGCTGAAGGGGCTGCAGCACCCCCATCTGCGAGGCTCCACTAGCTGAAATAAACAGTGTTGAAGGACAGAGTAGATTGAGAGAGGAGAGGCTAAAGGAGAAAGTAAGATGTTCACACATTCCCTGCATGTGGAAACAACTTCTTAAGCACTTAGCACGAATAATTTATTAATACGATTAATCAACCAAGTATTCATGTGCGTAAGTGCTGTGTGTTTTTACTCAGTGAGAGACATCCTTTCTCCTCTACAGGGGAGGGTGTGTGTCTGGCAGATGGCCAGGGCCACACACGCAAATACACATTACCACAGGCTGACCATCCCTGAGGGTCTTATAATAGGTCCTCCTCCTGTAGGCCTTCTGCCCCTCAGAGGAATCCACTCTCTGACCCAGCATGCCTTCGAAGGGCTTCACAGTGTGTGTGTGTGTGTGTGTGTGTGTGTGTGTGTGTGTGTGTGTGTGTGTGTGTGTGTGTGTATTCTTTACTTGTCATGCTGAAATGTCTAGAGTTGGCCAGCTGTTCCCCTCCTTAAAACTCTATATGCATTTGTATTGATATTCATTATCACAAGCTGTAGACTCAATCACCCCCTGCTAAAGGTTTACTTTCCTTTTTATAATCAAGGTTTCTGTACTTGCTAGGGTCAGAAGCTTATAAATATCTTATTTAATATGTAATGTCCCCTTGTGGATTTTATCTACAAAAAAGAGCAGTATATAAAACATCGAGGTTGCTTTTGCCAACCCAGCTTTCCCTTATTTACTTTTTGTCAATTATTGCCAAAGCTTGCCTTTGCACAAACTTTGTAAGAAACAATGTATTTGTCGGGTTAAGACTTGTTTTTGTCGAGGACAGCACTAACATCTAACATTCATCAACTGAGGTAATATTTTATTTATATTCAAAGATTAAATAAAGTAACAGCGTATCCTCTGCCTTCGAAATCAAATACTTTTTAACCTTGTTGATCGCTTTGGTTCAAAACAATAGCTCTTCATCTGAGCTGACTGCATCAAACTACACAGACAGTTTCCCTTCATCCTACTTTCTCTGATCAAAGGCAGGTTGTCCAAATTAAGACACAATAAAAAGAAACAACAGCGAAGTTGTTTGGGCCAGATTCTTATGTCTGATGAGATTAGAAATAGGGAAGGTATGTGGAGTTTCGTACCATCCAGTGTACCAACATGTCTGTCAGCTGAAGGTATTTTACTTTGTACAGTGTGATTAAGTGCAGCATGCTGAGTGATTCAGAGCAGATTTTAGCTGCTGTCCAGTCATCATCACACGGCAGGGGAATTTATCAGGAACCTGTCCAGTGCTTTTTCCCATCCCTTATGACTTATCTATCTTGGGCATCTCTGTGTACAGTAAATATATCTATCCGTCTGACATATTCCCCATTAGCAATACATGTTGTGTGCTTTTACTTTTTGAAAAGGCTGGAGTAAAAGCTATGTTTTAGTGCCTTGCTGGAATATAAATAATTGAAAGCATGTTCGCATGCGTACATTGAGGTAGAATACATTACCTAGCTAACACTGCTGGTATGAGGATATGTAATCAGAAGCTGTAACCCCTCAAGGCAAACGTCAGTGAGTGTCATGTATGCATGATGATGTGAAAGGGTATGTGAGAAATTTGATTGTGTATATAGTATTTCATCTTTGCGTGTCTTTTGTGTTTTCAGATCATATGTCTTACAGAAATGTATTAACCAAACTGATAACAGCTTAATGACATCCCCTGCATTTCCCTTGTCATTGTAAAGAAGCATATAATACTAATAATAATACACATAATAATAATAATATAACATGTAAGGTAAACTCACTCTGAAGAAGTCCTCTGACTTTGCGTGTGTTTCTTTCCCAGAGTTGAGGATGATGGCAGAAGGGCGTTTTGCCAGTCTGCCCAGGTCCCTCCATGCACACCACGCCCTGGGAGGAGGCACTGTACACCATGGAGTCCCCTCAAACTCCCTCGGCAGCACCACCTGCTCCTCCAGCGGGCTCCAGTCCTCCCTCGCCTCCTCCATGGACCTCCTCAGCTCCAAACCGGGGTGAGTTGGGTGACTGAAAACAGCTCTTCAAAGAAGCCTGGCAGAGCTCAGGGTCTGAAATGAAATGAGTTTTAAAAACCCATAGGCTTCTCTGTAATGCAATGCAGGTTTGTATCATAGCAATTTACCAACATTTAATTACATTTTGAGGTATTAATAAGAAGGTCATCACATCAGAATCTGGCTTCTGAGAAAAAAGTCTTCACAAAAGTGTTTTTGTTTACGTGAACACTTTAGTCTTATGTTTCCCTCCTCCCTCCCCCAGCTTCCCCACAGGCCATGGCAGCGGCCTCTCAGATCTGCCTGCTTCGGCCTACCAGCAAATCTCCATTCACGGGACTCTGCCTCGACGCAAGAGAGGCGGAGCAAACCTCCCCCATGGAAACTACACCTGGAACACGTCACTGCCTCCCGGACACGCCCATCAACCCCTGACCTCTCCACTGGTCCAACATATAATCGACGACTTTCATGGTTACAGGTAAACACATGTTTAAAACACACATAATGAGGTCATACAAGCTCTTTTTTGATGAACACAATGCATTTTGAAATGTACATGTATAACGTCTTTGTGTGATTTTGTCTTGGACAGAGGATGTAATGTAGATTGGAAACCCACTGAAGCTAATATGTTATTTATAATATTAGGCTGCATGAATATAAAATGTGACCCTTTTTGCTTTTGCTTGAGCTTTAATCTTTAGACTATTAAGGGGCAAAAAAGAGACACAATCAAAGGAACACTCAACCAAACATATATTTTCAAATACACCTAAAATATTTGTAACTTGCATTTTTGGAGAACAGCATCTTGTTTTCAGAGCAGTTATCACAGATTCCAGTGGTAGGTTTTTCTAGTTTGTGTGACTACTGTCACCATTAGGGAAAATTGTAAATGTTGAAAATCCAAGCTTTAGGGCTAAAGCTTATTAGTTTAATTATTAATTAATCTGATGGTTATTATATCTATAAATCGTTTAGTCTTTAAAATGGAAAAAGATACACACACACACACACACACACACACACACACACACACACACACACACAAATCAGAGAAATCTCAATAGAGATAGCTAAAAACAGCACTTTCTGACAAACAAACTTTTGGGAGAGACTTTTCATGCAAAAAGCCAATGACATATACAATTAAGTAGAAATACTCTTGATTTATGTAGTATTTTGGGGTAGTGCTTTTTAGAGGGATGCGACATTTCTAGGCAATCTTTCTTGCGTTACACTTGCCATGCTCTGAAAGAAAAACGTCATTAATTCGGAGCGGGGACTCAAAAACAGAGTTTGGTGTTGGATGGAGAAATGCGAGTCCTGAGGGGGTGAAGCTCACTTCAGAGGGAACACACACACACACACACACACACACACACACACACACACACACACACACACACACACACCTCATCCCTCAACATGTCCTCCCATCTTTCTATCTCTAGTGTAGAGTTACAACAGACAGTATCTGATGTAGCCAGCGTTGTGTGTGTCTGTGTGTGCGTGTGTGTAGCCCCCAGCAGTTGGGTTACCTTTGTAGGTCAGGGTGTGGCGGGACAGATCACAGATTACTGTGAGCTCTTTGTCTGCTCTCTCCATCTTCTGCCTCCGTGCTGGATACATTTCATACACTGCTGACATACAGCTGCACAATTTGTCCAGGTCAAATTCAACCCGTGCAGGTGGCCAAATAATGAACAGCATCATTATCCCACTTTGGCTCATTTTTCATGAAGTTAGGGCAAATGTATGGGGTTTTGGAATCAATCAATGGTATCTCTTACCGTCAAATGATGTTCCAATTCAGCTGTAAATGAGCTCAATGAGCTGAAAGTGACAAAATGATTACATCTTTTTCAGGCTGGGTTTTTATTTGGCAGGTGGGGGTTGTTCTTTATAATCAGCTATAGCCTTACTTCAAACTGTCTGAAGATCAAAGAGCAGCACTTGGTAATTACTGAATTACCCTACTAATGGCCTGACAACTACAAAAGAGACTTTGCTATGTCAGTGACATAAATCTCACTGTGTCCAGATGTTATCTCTTTGATTGAGGTTCTTGTTTCACATACTTACAATCATCTCCTTGGCCCTACGTGAAAGGTTTTTAAAGATACATCATCATTGACATAAACATACTTGGAATAATAACCTACATAGCAACATTTCAGCTCATCTCAGGAGGTTAAAGCTGCAACAATTAGATGACATGTATTAGTTGTTGCACAGAAAAATATTTGGTGAGCTTTTTCGATCATTTTGTAGTTCTTAAGGTACTCTTTATGCAAAAAAAACATTTTAGCCTACAAAATAATGGAGATTTGCTGCTCTTCTCTGTTTGATATCATATTATACTCTGCATCGTTGGGTTTTGGACTAATGGAACAAGACAGTTTAAAACATCACCTTTGGATGTGTGGCTGATATTCACATTGATGTGCCCACCATTCATTAAAAAGATATCTGTACATTGATTAATAAAGAAAAATATAGTTTGTAGTAATCAATAAGAAATGCTTTCCAATGGTTCTAAGTACCTTTTCTCAAATCCAAATGTCTTCTAAATAAAAGCCAAATAATACAGATGATTTGAACATTGTGTTTTCTAAAAAAACAAACATGTAAATGTTAAACATAGACCCTGGTGTTGTTAAAGCAATGAGTATCATAACAAACCTTCAAACTTCCCCCCAGCTCCTCTGTCGGCCCATATTGGAGTTTTCTATAAAAAGACAAGGGAGCCTAGCTCTAAAGTATGCAACCACTGGCCGGTCGGTCTTGACTTTCCATTCCTTATGCTGTCAGCTGACCTTTGACCCCTGACCTGATGTTGCACCGGCTTCAGATTGGTCAGTTTGTCTCTGTGTTGACCTCAGTGAACAGCTCAGCAGACCACCCGAGAGGACAAGGGGGAGGAAGAAGGAGAGAGAGTGGGGGGAGGAGAGGAGAGGCAGTGTGTTGACACATGCCACTTTTCATTTCAGCAACATAAATAAGCTTATTGTTTACCCTGTTTAATTCTGCTTCTGCTGAATGAGTTTGGATTGACCTCTTCTGATGATCAACAGCGTTTACACTATATTCTCTTTTGAATTGTAAAAGATGGTATTGAACTAACATTGCTACCTTGTTCATACCTGTTGATGTATTGCTCTTGTAACACCTCTGACAAACTGAGGGACAGAACCAGCAGGCTGCTTTAGTGCTGCAAATAAAAACCAGACTTTTAGCATCTTAATGTGTTGCAAAGTCGTAATACACACTGACTCTAACAGGGGTTTTCACGCTTGGACAATACACTGAATCAACTAAACTGCATGTATCATGCAGAGTTCACCATGCAGTTTCTATTACGGCTTTAATTCTTCCACCCATAGCTCCTAAATGAAAGATCCGAAAACCACCACTACAAGTGACGTAATTCTGATTGATAGTCAGCTTCAATCAAAACAATAATAAATATATACACAGGAAAATCCATAACATCCTCTGCATAATAAAATAACACTTATTATTTCATTATAAATATAAGGTAAATAAGCTAAATGGCTTCAACATCCCACATTCACTTCTTTCATTTACTTAATTGTAAAACATCAACTTCCAAAACAATACAGTTAGCATAGCAGGTACAGATGTGTATAGTCTGGATCGGAATCACAAATCCATTTTCCCCTTAGTGTGTGGATCTTAATATGAAAACACACTGACCTCTGTAGGCCGCCTGCAGCCCCTGCATGTTGCACACACACACACACACACACACACACACACACACACACACACACACACACACACACACACACACACACACACACACACACACACACACACACACACACACACACACACACACACACACACACACACACACACACACATAGTGAAGTCAGTCACTGAAGCCAGTTGTGGCCTTGCTGAGAGTTGTGTGGTGAAGCACAAAGAACAACAGTAGCCAGAAAAAGACTGTGGCTCCTGCTGCCCTCCCTGTACTTGTATTTGTTCACTTGCTTCCAGTCTTTCTGCCTTTTTGACTTTGTGGTCTTAGAAGCAGAAAAGAAAAAGCGTCTGATGCTGTTTCAGCAACAAAAAAAAGGCAAAGTTAGCTCTGGTCAGCTTGTTTAGTCTGGAATGCGTGGCCATCTCACTCTGACTTTACTTTGTTTCAGATTGTTAGTGCTGCAATCAGCCTTACTTAACGCTATCAGGAAGAATATAGAAGTAAAAAACATCCGTTAAGACGCTGGGCGGAGACCTCATCCTATACCTGGCTAACAACCTGGGTTTAACACTGAATCTCCATCATCTCCAGGGCTGCTGCTCTGACCTGTTGACCTCCCTCAACAGGTCTGGATTTTCCCTGAGTTGTAGCACATTCAACTGCAGGAGGGTTCATATGGGTGTTGTCTGGTATGTGGTGACTCTCCATGCACCCACCTCTGACCATGGAGCCAGCGCACAGTTACGGTGGGCAGGTGGTTTGAGTGGTAAAGATTTGGGGCCAATCAGAGGTCCAGCTAACCACTGAACCCTAAAAACCAACACATATTGCTACGGTACTTTTGTGTCAAACTGAATGTCTGATTTAAGTTTAGATTTTAGACCACAGAAACTTCCTGTCTTCTTCTTCCTCATTCTCCTCCTGCTCTCCTTCACTATATCCTTCCTCTTTTTGCAGTAGGTGATTTTTAAGCCGTTTAGCTCTGAGAAGCTGTCACTGATCATAATCCAACCATTCCTTTTTTTAAAGAAAATAATTATTGCTATTTTCCGATGTTTAGCCAAATTAAATTGGACAATATAAGGTTTTAATTCCACTGAGATTACATAATAGGATTATCATGAATATCCTCAGATGAGTGGCTTGGCAAAACTGTCTAACTCTTGGGAAAGAGGTGAAAAACAGAGCCTGATTTGAAAATGAAAGATAAAACTGACTCACATAATCAATTATGATAACCCTATTTAAGATCCTTCAATCACTTAAAGGGTAATCACGATTTAAAAGTGTTTCTAACCTTTTTTTTTACAAAATATAACAATGATCATGAAATGAAATCCACATATATATAATTGCAAATGATCCTATGCCTTGTCCAAATGCCTTTGCCTAATGCATATTGCCTTTCAAGTTCATAAAATAACAATAAGGCACAAACAAAAATGACATTTACTATTAACAGTTCATCAAATAACTGTAAACTGATTACATTTTGATGACTTTGATTTACTTTCAGCTGTCATAATAGATACCTACTTAGAACTTAGAACTATATTGTGAAATAGAGGGTGATCTGCAGCACTTTCAACTTTCTATCGCTCCAGGCACAATCAGACAACAGTTCAGCCAACAGCTGATCTGCCCTCTGCTGTGGGGTATCCTCAGTGTAGAGTTGTGTTGATACTTTGTGATGGGGGGGGGGGGGGGGGGGGGGTCAGGATATGTTGGATTAGGGATGTTTAGACCTGGAACAGGATCATTTGAATATACTGCATCTCCTCGTCCCTGCAAAGTGAAATTGGCTGAGGGTGATTGAGAGTCCTGAGCATTCTCATTCTATGAATAATAACTACACATTGTTGTGAATGGAGGCTTTTGTTTAGTTACATAACTTAATCCCACCTCATTATCTGGGGCCATATTAAACTGAGAGGGTTTAGAGCTAAACATATTTGGTTTGGTAAGCAATGGACTGTGCTAATATTCCCGTGGGAACAGCAATGTAGGTTTAAGGGATTTAAACTACCAACCTTGCTAACATTGTGGGGGATTTGAGCTAATTACCTCTTCACTGATCCTCTGACATAAGCCTCCTGTCGAGAGAGAGCTGCATTTATACGCTCAAGTACCAATATCGAGTGAGAGAAATGGAAATAATGAGCTGTGCTTGAGTCAGATATTCTGTTAAGAACTGCTGGTCAAAACAAAACCAAAATACTTAAATAATGTTTTATGTGTATTCTGACCTTTAAACTAAAATGTGTAAGAACAGCCAATGAAAGTCCAACAAGATGTGGATGTTTTTAAAGATGACATATTATGCTCATATTCAGATTAATATTCGTATGTTGTGCCTTTATGTTGAAAAAGCTCTTTATTTTTCTCATACGCCTGTGTTGCAGCACCTCTTTTCACCCTCTGTCTGAAACCAGAGCCCAGTCTGCTCTGATTGGTTAGTTAGCTGGAGCTGTCAAGGCCCTTGGCCTATTACGTACAATGTGTAGGGAGCGCTAGCCAAGCACAAGTGTTACATAGTGATGTCACTATGTTACGGTAGTAAATAAAGGAGTCCAATCGAGGCATTTCCCTCTGGAGGGAATTTGGGGATTTGCAGACCATTTACATGCACTACAACCTTTAAAACAAACTACAGGAAAGGGAACAACAAAAAGCATAATAGGACCTCTTTAAGTTATCAAAGACAATGCAAAAGGAGAAAAATTAAAGAAATGTGTGTGCTCTTACCTCCCTGTGAATTTGTCAGTAGACTCTGAAGGATAGGCGTATGGCTGCGATGTGTGTTATGGTGGGGGAGGAGTGAGGGAGGGGGGCCAAGAGAGGCAGGCCGTAAGTGAACATGTTTACCGCTGACTGAGAGATAGACAGCAGAAGGACAGAGAGAGTCTAAGATTTAAAGCAGTTCAGTGTGAAGTCTTGTTTCTCTGGACGTCTTTTCTTTTAGATTAAAAACAGTGAGATCTGGACAGCATTACCCTTAAAGTTCACTGTACAGAAGCCTTACAGTGCAGCTGTACCTTCTTTGTCTATCGTATGGCTGATATGGCATCATGTTTGGACCTGTAACACCCATTTGGATCTTTTAAAAAAACCTCCACTGAACTTAATCATCTCCAAAAACAGCTGAGCAGTGTCTGAATCTCCTAACGAAGCAGCTTCAGCACCAGCCAGGGTCCCACTTGGACTTAACACTACTAGTTTATTTGTAATAGGAACTCCAGAGAGGAACTGAAGCTCAACAGCGAGCCGTTTGGGTCCAGGAGCAAGATGTGTTCACTAAACAGGTCCATGTCTCTGTCTATGTTCCCCAGGGAGCCTGCTGCCGGCCTGGATGCCACGGTGGACTATGTCAAGGTAGGAACAGCAAATCCGCCTGTTTGTTTTTTTACAGAAAATCAAAAAAAGCTGCTGCTGCTACCTCTACCATTAGAACGGCAGAAAAGACGTGTATCACTGTGGTTTTAATCATGCAAACACTATAAAGCCATATTTCTCATTAAAAACATAGGATTTTTGATTAAAACTTTGCTTGTGAGACATATGATATTGTATTCACTTTTAGTGGTGGTGCAAAGTTACTGTATATGGCATATACAAATATCTCTTGGTTGGCTGTATAAAAAGTGAATGCCAATGTATCGCACAGTATGTTGGACCTTTCATTCATTCATTACACACAATACAATCATTATAAGCAATATATAGAATACACAGTCTAGGATACAATATGACTGATAAGGCACATGCATATATTTATATATATAAATATTGCTTATACAAACCTATCCTACTATCAATTTGAGCTACCTTACAAATAATACAAATTATTCACAATTGTAACAATCAAAAATAGCTTATGAAACATTTATTTTGAAAAACACGAGAGTTCAAAATGCTTAACTGTTCCATGACGCTAATAATGAAAAAATGAAAGAAATCTTATTTTCTTTATGTTGCTTTTTATATGGTAAACATACCAAAGAGATCTTGAATTAAAATATGTATACAGTCTGACAGTGACTTTGATATATACATAACAATTTAATATAATTTCAATGTACTCAATAATTACATGTCATGCATTAGATTTTATGAACACGCATTTGTGTGATCATAAAAAATGAGCCCTATTAAAGCTGTGGAATAAGTAATACTATTAAAATGTAAAGCATTCCACTCTGTTGTACAAAATTACTGCAACTCTAAACTAAATACTTCTTTCCTCAACATGTTCATTAGATACACACAGTTGAAATCATTTGGTAAAGAGTAAAACAAATTGTATTGAATCCATCACAATCAGCGTCTGTAATTTGAATAAAACAAAAAGTGAATCCAATTACCCCTGGGCTACAAGGAAAACACTCATATGTCTGCCACTGCTTTGGCTGCAACACTGTTATACATCATATTCACATACACACTGAGACCCGTTTCAAAAGAGGTGATGACAGAGAGATGATCATTCTTTTATCACCATATCATCTAGCTGACCGATGATGTGCTCTACTGTGTTTCTCTTTCTGCTCATTCATGTTATACTTACACTGCACAGCTTATGAGCAATCTAACTAAATACATGTACACAAAGAACCTGGGGCCTGGTATCAAATGTAAAGGGGCTCCAAATACTCATGTTCAGGTTTCATATTTGTATTTTGTGCTTCTACTATGACATGTCTCCATGCTTTAATGTTCAAAAAGCTCTTTATTGTTCTCATACTGCCTGTGCTGCAGCACCTCTTTCCACCCTCTGTCTGAAACCAGAGCCCAGTCTGCTCTGATTGGTTAGCTGGCCGGCTCTGTTGCGATTGGTCAACTGTAGAGATGTCCCATCCCTTTAGCCTATCACGTACATTGTATTGGAGCGCTGGCCATTAGAAGCGCAATTGTCACATAGTGATGTCACTGTGTCACTGAAGTAAACAAAGGAGTCCAATGGAGGAATGTTAGCCTTTGCCGGCCATGTACACGCACACAAACCAATAACAAACTACAGGGAAGGTAAATCCCAAGAAAGCATTATGGGGCCTCTTTAATACCTTTTGAATACAAACATAAGGCTTCCTACATTACTCTCACAGTATGTTTATGAAGTACACAAAGGATTAACAACATTTATGAGGCATACTGTTATTCTTCTTTGAATTAGACATTTTTAAATGTTACATTTATATTCTGAAATATAAGTTATTAAAAAGAGATTGTTAATTACATTTTGCAGAAATTCTGTATTTTGTATGCTGCTAAAACTGAACATACTTGAATGCTACAAATATACTTACTTAACCTTTCCTATGTATAAATCATCTTCATAGACCTGGTCATAACAAAGCAAAGCAGACTATATGATCTTGTGTCTCTCATATGACCTTATTTTGATCTGAAAACCATATTTTTGAAAGCTATATTATACAGTAAGTCTAAAGCAGCCTTAACTACACTGAGATAGTGCTTTCCAATTCTTCTCTCTGTAACTCTTTATATTATCCCCTCTTTTTAACCCCCTAAAACCATCCATCACTGCTTTCCATCTCTTAGCTCACACCTCGGTCTGAAAAGCAAACTCTGGGTCCTTCCCACGAGAACATATGGGAGCTAACCACACACACACAAATGCACAAACACCACTTGTGTGTATTCCTTTGGCCAAATTAGGTTTGTGTGTGAGTCAACAGAGTGTGTGCGTGTGTGTGTGTGTGTGTGTGTGTGTGTGTGTGTGTGTGTGTGTGTGTGTGTGTGTGTGTGTGTGTGTGTGTGTGTGTGTGTGTGTGTGTGTGTGTGTGTGTGTGTGTGTGTGTGTGTGTGTGTGTGTGTGTGTGTGTGTGTGTGTGTGTGTGTGTGTGTGTGTGTGTGTGTGCTGACCGCAAATGGAGCTACTGTGTCCGAGGTATTATATAATAAGTGTGAAAGTGTAGCTGTCAGCTGTGGTACTCCAGGTGTGTTTGCTTTGCCACTGTGGATGAAAACATGCACAGACTGCAGCAGGCAGTGCATGTGTTGTGGAAAGGTCAAAAGTAAACTGCGCAGTGAGCCTTGCCTTGTTTAGTTTGATCTGGACATCGATTATGTCCAGTATAAGTGTGTATATATATATATGGATGTTTCACGAAGTAAAATCATATAAAGATATCCTTCTTGTCTGATTTCAAGACTATTTCTCTAATTCCCGGAGATGTTAAATGGCTGAATTCTACTGTTGGATGTTTTATAGTTACTCTTAGTGAGGGAAATCAGCTAACGTCTTTGAGAACAGTTCAATATGAACCATAAATACTCAAATAAAAAGAAGAGAATACAGTAGAAAGAACTACTGTATATTAGACAGCTTTTTTTTTTAGATAAAGTATAATCACAATGCAAGGAACTATTAATGATTGGCTCCTGCATTGTTAAATTAACAAAATGCAAAAACACGACTGTGGCGTTTTATCCTGTAAAAGAAAAAGCAATAAACATACTGAAATGTTACCAAGTGTTTGGATATTTTAGGAGAAACGCACAAGTCTCTAACACATGTACAGTAATGTGTTGCATGATCAACACATTACCCCTACTCACGTTATCACACTTCAAACATGCAGTGCAGCGGGGTCCTGTAGCTACATTTGGCTGGATTACAAAACAGTCAGGTCTGTGTGAGGAATTAGGAAGAAGGATTGGTACAAAGTTCCCACAGGATAATTCTAGGACACGTCACAGAGAAAGGATTGTTCAATTCTGCCGCAGTACATTGAGCAACATCTTTATTGTGAAGAGTGCTGAAAACCTGTCCTGCATAAATACAAATATTTATGCAAACCTTTGACCATTTCTTTACATTTATCATCAGAAATGAAGGTATATTAAGGTACTTTTTCTACTTTTTTGTTCACTCACTACAGTAAGAAACAAACCAAACATACCAATGATGTTCACTCATATTGCGTCACAGTTAATCATATGAACAAAGTGCTGACAAAACAGATTGTCTGAAGGTTGGAGTGTTTAAATCTTGAAAATTAATACCTAAGCTTTTCTTTTTTTTAAAGAAAGGTGAAGGGATTTAGAGCAAAATGCACCATTTAAAAAAGAAAGTTGTTTATAAAGCCATCTGGTACAATAGTTAGTATAATGCACAATTTTCTCCACGTTCTTTGATAGCAAATTGACTGACTTTGAAAGTCTGAAAAGGTAAGAAAGAAACTCAGCGTTCTCTAAAGGACTTTCACTCTTTTGTACTTCCTCTTTCATTCCCACTCTGTCTTTGAGTTGAAAACATCAAATTGAATTGACTCTACCATCATGAAAGAGCATTGAGAAACAACAATGCTCTGTCTGTCCGCGTGTGTATGTGTTCGTGCGGTCTTGCAATTGATTTCAACTCTCAAAGTGCAAGGCACTGAACAGCTTACAGTACACACACATCCGCTCATAGTTAAGTGATCCAAACATCAGTCAAAGTGTTTCCTGACTCATATTCATTCATGAAATAGTTCATCTCTGAAAGGGCTTTTAAGTGCTCTAAGAGGTGAGGTGGTACACTCTAGTGGTCAGATGCAGGTGCTGCAGTGTGAGACCCTGTAACAGTAAGTGCATAAGGATTCAGTTAGAAATCCAAACAGCAGTTCGACACTCATCAGGATCATCACACCACAGTTAGCAACGAGCCAGCTAAAATAGAAACCAGACAGCTAGTCAGCTGTTCAGCCTGCGGGTGCGCCTGCCTGCCAGTCAATGAGCTACACAGCCAGTCAATCTTTCAGTGTGTTGGCCTATAGGCACAGCAGGTGGCCGGCCAGACAACCAGCAGCTCGCTACAGGGAATGAATAAAGATTATTCCTATTGGGAACTCATCACTCATCAGTTCCTGAATTATTAGTGGGATTTTGTTCTGATTTCTTACGTATTATATATTTCAGACAGTTCTTGTAACAGTTAGACACAACATGAAGAAACGTTGTATTAGTTTTACATTTAGAGACTTGAATTTAGCATCAATACTGTAACACTTTCAAAGTTATAAAAACCAATGAACTGCCACTGAGAGCGTTTTATTCTATCGGCTGTATCACCCGTTTCAAATCACACAAAGGGATGCCACTCGAGTTAATGGGCTGAGTTTAATCTGGGTCAGTCAGACTATAGATCAGGAGTCATGATGTAAACCATGTCAGTCACATGTCTCGTGTCATTATAAAAACAGATCATGACATGCTTTTAATACATCATGACTTTGCATGATTGGCCTCCCAACAGTTTGCTGGGTCTATATTGAAGGCTAAATAATTAAAACAATCCTTAAAACCCAAACAAGTGTTCATTTTCTCAATGGTTCATGAAGTCCGTATTCTCGTGCAAGCTTTTATTTATT